CACAAGGGAAGAAATTGAGAAAAATCAAACTTCAGATCGCAAGTGAAACAAAATCATACATTGACCAACCCATAGGTGAATTCTTAATTATGTTCGGTTAACAGATTTACAGTCATGTGTTTGAATATTGGAAATAAACTTACTTAAACATTAAACATTGCTCACGATATAGACAAATAAAAATAAAAATAAATCAAACGTATGACAAAACCCGAGTCATGTATTAAACTTATGGCAGTTTTATTACTAAATCTTCTCTCCATCCTACGTATATTTCATTTTAATCAATTATTATATTTTAAGTAAGTTTATGGTGACAATAGTTATCAAAAATACTCCTAATAGATAATATAGTGTGAAGCGCGATTAGTTGTTCACATTAAGTCAGTGTGCTATGTTCCCGTGATGTGAACATTAGCACTGTCAATGTAGTCGCACATATTGAACGCACTTTATACTGTTGAAATATACACGGCTTTCTCCACATATTAGCCAAGGTTACTACATGTTCAAAAAGTATTTGGTAAGATAAACTATTTCATGAACATTCTTAATATAATAATTAAATTGGTGGATCAAATGTTGAAATAATAAAACTTATTAAAATATATTATGAACTATGAGATGCAATTACTTGATAGATATTTCTTAAAAATTTTCCTCTAATTATCCAATCTTGATAATTTACAACAATGACAAAAGTGATGCATGTAGTAAATCAAATCTATATATTTAGAAAGTCGTATTCATCTTTATTTCACAAGTAAAGAGTTCAATGCTAAATTTAAACAAATTTATCTAAATAATTTTATCAAAATCTACTTCATATAAGTATGAGACCCACACAATGTGAGTCTCAGTTATCCTCACACTCCTATTAGACATTTCGATAAATACTTTGATGAATTTTGACATTTTGTTACATAAATCCTTATTTGAATCTTGACCTTTTGGTAAATATGCCTCGGACTTGCTGAATTGATATTCTGCCAGACTACATTGCGAAGAAATTCTCTCTCATCCGTGTATAAAACAACAAACCATCCCCTATTTTGTAACTTAAACTTTCTCCCCATTTTCCTTGGTTTTCTCGGAAACAAACACTGTGTTCTTCCTACTGATATTACGGCAACTCAATTAATCAATATGGGAGTGTATGTTGGAATTCTCAAGAACACATTCACATCATACCCCACCCCCTCCTTATTTGAAAGCCATTTCCCAACTTATCATTCCTTGATCAAAAAGTCAATAGAAACATTGTGCCTTTTGATCTTTATACCCATTAGGATTGTGCAAGCATGATCGCATAAGCCACAAACCTCACAAAATCAGACCAGCTAAATAAATCTCTTGCTGATTCTAAACAGTTCTACCCACTGGGCTGTCGACTCAAAGAGAACCTCTACTGAGGCAAATGGATGGGGTTGTTAGTTTACTTGGAAGCTCAAGCAATCTCCGCAACTCTCAAAGTGTTGGACAAGCCCAACCACATCACTTCATGCTAGCCAACATAGTTGAACATTATGACACGGCGATTGTCGATTGCCTCGAGTGAGTTACTAGATTGGCAATCCATCACGATTTCGACTTCGACGGGATGCCCCAAAATGATGCTTTCTCAACCCCAAAATTGCCAGAATGGTTGTCTACTGCCCAAAAATAACGAGCTACTGCCATGCTATAGTGTCCGTTGGCAGCTTGCCTTGCGTCCTTGGTCGCATTACAGGGGGATCTCATAGATTACTATTTACGGTCTATTCAACCTGTCCCTTCCCCGCCCTGTCATATAGCATTTTCTCCGTGACCCAGTACACCACATTTCCTCAACTTCTTACAGCACATTGCTCTTTGGTTATCATCTGCAAGTGCCACAGTGTGCCCGGCGACTTGTTCCTGAGACTGAATTTTTCCACGCGCATAAGCAGCAAGAAAGATTGTGCAAGAGGTTGTGGTTGTCTCTCTTCTATATCCTATCTCATAAACAAGTAGGTCCTGTAGTGGGGAGCATGGAACATGCTAATACGACCCACCTTAGCGTTTGAGGCACCTCTCACCTCGTCTATGGAGACATTGCTTGTGCCATTGAGTTAAGAATATCTCCTCTCCAT